ACACAGAGTCCTTAGACTGTCTCTAGATGGCCAATGAGAAAGCTTGATGGTACTTTGAGGATGATATTTGCCTAACACAAACTAAAAATGAAAACCAGCCACACATTCTTGTGTCCCAAATCTGCCTCAATATTGAAAAGGCTTACTACTTCCTTAGGGGAAACTTGTAATATTCTGAACTAACAAACAACTTTGTGCAACATTCTTCATTCCAAAGTCTCTAGACAAGTTAGGCTTTACCTGTGAGACCCCTTCATGTTCTCCAGAAGTGCTTACCTACCTATTATTTAACATCATTTAATTGCTAATGAAAGTACTATTATGTGATGTGCAAATATTTACTGGGAACATGTAAGGACTGTAAGGAATGGGCAATGCTAAAACAATGGTGCTGAAGAAGAAGAAAAATGTGTACTCAAACAGTAAAAGGCAAAAGATTTATACATTTGGAAGATAAATCATAGTATCAAACAATTATTAAGAGGAAAACACAGTATGTTTTAGTGACACAGAAAGGAATGAGCTGGAGGCTTTGACTGAGAAGTGGTACAAACTTTGTCCAGATTACAGATCAATGCCACTTGGAGTTTTCCAAGCTCTAAGGTAAATAGATGCTCTAACCATACAATGTTAAGAGGAGTAAAAGGTGCTTACTCTGTTAAGTTTTTTTTTTTGATTGATAGCCTGCTTACCTGCCTTAGCAAAAAATAATACTCTGATTATGGGGAACACATGTTTTCAGCAAAACGTGCATTTCCCTCTCTTACATCTAGTTGCATATTTGTACAACTTAAATGTCTTTTGAGCTCTGTATAATAGACTATAGATTTATTTCTTACTTAGATTTACTTTTTTGTGTAGGTTTTGCCTGCATGGAAGCTAGTACAACAGTGTTCTGCAATGCCCATGGAGGTCAGAACAGGAGACTGATCTGGAACCGGAGTTACAGACGATTGTTATTCACCATGTGGGTGCTGGCAACCAAACTCAGGTCCTCTGTCAGAGCATCCACTGCTACTAACCACTGAGCGATCTCTCTAGCCCCTTATACCAAGAGATTTAAACAGCCCATATACCATGTATCATTTCCAGTGAAACCCTATTAAATAAAACTGGGGGATTGGGACCCATTCTTGGTACACAAATGAGTCTGATGTGGATGAGTCACACAGATAATCTGCTGTGGAAATTCCATTGACCATGTATAACATATGAATGGAAATATGAATGGGATATAGCACCCAATGGGAAGCTTCTTTAGCTATCTGGTTACAGATTATGAAGGACACACACCTAGCAGTTTGGTTTATTGTATCTTGGAGTGTGGGTATGTAAATGGAAAGAATATAAGTGATCTATAATTGAAAGGCAATCATAGGGTGAGGGGAATGAACTATGAATATACTTGGAAATCTTAAAGCAGTATTTAACACAGAACTAAGCAGAGCAGGTCACTAATGATCATCACTGAGTAAACATGCAGGAGCAGACATTTCTTAGCCTACACAGTTGCATCTGAAGATGCATTTTCATCAGTCCCACAACACACAGGGAGTAACACATATAATAAGTAGAAGAAGAAGGCATATTTCAGGAAAAAAAAATTCTTGATAGAATTCTGTTCATTAAAAAGCTCCAGATTTGGTTTTAGTAGAACTTGTACTGATTTTAAACAAAACCCATGCAATGGGAAATTTCTTATGAAAGCCTCATGTAAGAGCCCACTGTAAGTTACTTGCTCATAGAACATGCTGGCTTGAGATGGAACTCTACTCCAAAAGGAGTGGATGGCCTAATTTGGTGCTCTTTTTGTCCCATAATGCTTATACAGGGAGTTCTGAGATGGGATCTGGTGTGAAACAATGACTGAAGTAAGAACATGCCCAGTGATTACCATATTGGGCATCATTTTAGTAAGTGTGCAGACAAGTTATGCAGCCCTGAGGGGGTGTGATCTCTAGGTAGTCTTCCTGCCTGAGGCTCCTTTGTGGTGGAATTTCAGGCAAGGTATCTTCAGTTTTCTTCTATTGTAATGATAAAATATTCTGATAAAAAGCAAGTTAAGAGGGAAAGGTTCAAGGTTCAAGGATACACTCTATCATGTCAGGGAATTCAACATAACAAAAATTTGATGTTCTGGAAGAGGGGGCCAAAAGGTTGTAACAGACAGAGGTGGTAGATAAATAGAAGGAAATGGTGACAAAACAGGGCAATTATACAAATGAACCCATAGCACTTGTGACAGAATGCACAAGATATGGATAAGCTCAAGCTAGACAAAACTCCAGCTTTAGGGAGGGGGTAAAAAGAGACCCCATCCCTAGATGAATAACAACTATTGGCAATTGATAGCTCCTGGGAGATGAGACTTAGTTGATTGCCATGCTGATTCGGTTGACCAGTATCCATGCAGTTGGCTCATGCCCAAATGCATTTGTGAACACAGATTAAACACTGTAGGCTTTAAAAATAATAGAAGACATGGAGTGAAGGTGGTAATGAGGTAGGGGTGCAACTGAGAGGACATAGGTGAGAGGGTCTGAATATGATCATGGTACAGTCTATGAAATTTTCAAAGAATCAAAAATATTAAGACAAGAAAGAAGGTATTTGTTATATGAGAAACACCAAAATCATAATAAAAACTATAAACTATTTAAAAAGAACAGAAAATTTCATTTAGGCCAGAGATCCTTCATGAAATCTATTGTATAACACACTGATTATTGTTATAAAGAGTATAATATACTGGGCATGTCTGAGAGTAGAGGTTAAGTATTCTTACTACACACACACACACACACACACATACACACACACATGACAAACTCACCATATTAAATAATGTGTGATGGTTAGCCTTAATTATAAATGAGTGTTTTAAACACAACCTGTTTCTGTTAGAATGTCGCTAAATATTAACTGCTAGGAGTATATCAACCCTCAAAATTAGCTGCACCCTCCAGCAAACAATCCAGACATAAAAAGTTACATTACAAGGAAGAACATGTTGCCTGCTTGTTTTTGATTCTTCCTGAAAAAAAAAGTCTATCACTGATGTTGCCATCTCCCAGCTTCAGAATCCAGCTTCTTTGTTTTTCCAATATTGGCTTTCCAAGTACTTTATTCTTGGTCATCAGCATTAGATTGGGAATACCAAGCACCCAGCTTCATGGGCTGAGTTTCTGTCAGGTGCTCAGTTTCTTAAGTATTCAAATGGCAATGGTTAGACAACTCAACCTATGCAGATGAAAGCCATTCTAGTAAATATCCTTTTATAATATGTGTAAAAAATCCAGAGTCTACCAGCACAATGATTAAATGGATAAAGGCTAAATGGATAATTGCCAAATCTGATTATTTGAGTTTCATCCCTAGACCCCACAGTGGAAGGAGAGAACTGTGACCTTCAAATTGTCCTCTGATTGTCACACATGTGCTTTGGCATGCACCCCCTACACAAAATACATAATTGTTTTCCAATTATTTAAATGGCCTTCATAGCTATAAAGATTGATCAAGAGAAAATGTTGTTGTCCTAGCCTTGAGACCTGAGTGTGATCTTCAGAGCCCATGTGAAATAGACACAATTGATTCCATACAGTTGTCCTCTGACCTTCACACACACACCTTATGACAAGGGTACCCACATATATACCTTTTGCATACACATACATAATAGTAACACAAATAAAATTTAAACATTAATTCAGAGGATTCCAAAAACAAACAAAATTTGCCATTTTCACTTAGTAAGAATTTATAGAGCTGTAATTAAAAAACTGCTATGTTCATAAGATTGTATAACCCATGATCAAACAAATACTTATTAATAGCATGTAACTAAACAATTACTGAAAATCATACATTTCAGCACTTAATTGAGATATACACTTTTTTTGTTTGTTTTGAGATAGAGTCTTACTATGTAGCACTGTCTGGCCCGAGACTCACTTTGTAGACCAGACTGGCCTTGAAATCACAGAGTTCTGCCTGCTTCTGTGTCTCAAGTGTTGACATAAAAGGCCCCTTGCCAATGTGCCAGGCCAACATTAGTAGTTCTTAAACCTGCGTTTTCAATAGTTAAGAAAGCCTATTTATCTTTTCTTTTAAATGATGTATACCTTACAGAAATGTGATTGATCATACTTTTTTTTTTTGGCCTTTTTGAGACAGGGTCTCCCTGTAGCCCCCAGCTGGCCTGGAACTCACCTTGTAGACTAGGCTGGCCTTAAATTCACAGAGATCTACCTGCCTCTGCCTCTCAAGTGCTGGGACTAAAAACATGCACCACTGTGACCAGCAATAGATCATACTTTCATACAGAAATTTCAGACTTTTTGGATTTCAAAAAATAGAGAACAGGATCTGGTGGTTGGAGACTTGGGAAGTTAGTGTGGAAATTCTCAAGGACTAAATGAGAATATTTTTAAAAGAAAAATTGATTTTAAAAAGCTTCTCTACAGCAAAGGTGAGAACAGAGTGAAGAGGCAGTTTGGAGAACAGGAGTCAGTCTTTGTTATACACATATATGATAGTGGACTAATATACAAAGTACACAAAAAACTATGTATCAAGTATCAATCCACCCAATCAGCAAAAGCACTGGTGAAATGCACAATTTTCAAAAGATGAAGTACAAATACTCTATGTACATGAAAAAATGTTCAACATTAGTAGCCATGGATGAAATTCAAATTCAAACTATGTTGAGAATTCATCTCAGTGTTGTCAGAATAGCAAGCTTTAAGGAAACAACAACAAATGCTGAAAAGGCCAGGGTTGGGGGTAGTGGCATATACTCTCCTGGTGGACACTGGTAGAAATGTAAATTAGTACACTTATTATTGAAAAAATAAATCTTCATAAGATGAATAAAATTGGTATATATACACATGAAATTTTTTTCCATTGAAATGAATTAATTTATGTCTTTGTCATGAAAATGAATGTGACTAGAGATTTTCTATTTATTTATTTTATGTATTCAAGTATATTACCTGAAGGTATGTTGTGACTGCAGTGCCTGCAGAGGTCAGAAGATGATGTCTGATCCCCTGAATCTGGTGTCAGAGAAGGTTGTGAGCTGCAATACGGGTGCTGGGGATCGAACTTGTGTCCTCTGCAAGAGCAGTCTGTGCTCTTAACTGTTGAGCTTTCTTTTCAACTCCTGAGATTTTTATATTAAACCAAGTCATGCTCAGAAAGACAAATATTACATTTTCTTCTCATTTGTTGAACCTATATTTTACACACAAAGAAACACATGCATATGACATGAAAACAGATGCAAAATTGAGGTGGGAAAGGAGAGAGTCAATATGGGGTATGTGGGGTACATGAACAAGATGCATTATACAGTGTTATAAAAATATTCTTATGAATCTCATTACCACATACAAGGAACATATGCCAATTAAAAACTAAATCTACATTTAGTGCACTTTATAGAAATTGAAACTTTAACAGAAACCTCAAGACATTCAAAAATTCCAGTATGGAGAGGGAAGGTGGTCAAGAAGTCCAAGCTTCTGATAGTTGGTAACCATCAGGAGAGGAAGAGTCAGTTTCTTTTTCTTTTTTATTACTATTTAATATGCATGAGTGTTTTGCATGCATGCATGAGTGTAAGAGCAGCTCATACACAGAGGTCAGAAGAGGGTTTCACATCCCATGTAACTGGAATTACTGACATAGTTAGCTATCATGTGGGTACTGGTAACCAAACCTGTGTCCTCAGCTCTTAACAGCCGAGTCATCTCTCTGAGATGACTACTGAGTCATCTCCCAGAGAGTAACTTTTCTTTAAGTCTATGACCCAGGTAGGTTGATCAAACTCCAGGGGATGTATCAGCACCCAAGAGTATTGGAGAAGACAAATTAGACGTGATAGGACTTAATAATACACAGTGCCAGAAATGTGGAGCAAGTCTTTAATCCAGCACTCAAGAAGCAGGGGCAGGTCTACTCTGTGAGATCAAGGCCAGCGTGGTCTACAGAGGGAGTTCTGGGCTATCTGTGTCTAATGGGAAACTTTGTCTCAAAATATCAAACAAACAAACAAATAAATGGCATGAAATGAGGGGAGTAGGAATGTCAGGATGTATCTATGTATCTGAGAGGAGATAGGGAGGGGTCTAAATGACCAAAATATATTGTATGAAATTCCCGAGGATCAATGAAAATAATAAAAAAAAAAAATTCAGAGCCCAGCTATCTACCTATCTTGACAATGAGTAGGTGTGGTACATATAAAATTATAGGAATACTGCAGTAGGCAGTGTATAATATCTGTATAGTATCTCAGGGTAAAAGTGGTCTTATTGTTCAGATATATATCTGAGAACTTACGGCAATATAATCTTAAAGAGTTCCTAATTGGAATAGATTGAAAATAAATGAAAGGCATAAATACTGATGCTTATCTTTGGTTGAATTTATAGTTTTGGATATAAATATATGTTTTTGAGTACAAATTGTTTTCTACTATGACAAAAATTTTAGTAGCTGCCACTAGTCCTCTATTTGTAGGAAAGGTAGAATATCTATACTTGCCTGTTTTTTCAATGCATAGAAAGCATATGGAGTCAGTATTTGAAGACTCTTAAAGGAAGTATAATTGGAGTAAATAAAAGGGCTCTTTAAAAAATCAAAATGTGGTCATTGGGATGGTCTCACTCTACTTGATGAAGGGTGTGTTCAGTGTTTCACCTCCTGAAGGAACACACTTCTGTCAGCCTTGCTTTTCTGCCTATAGGCTGACAGAGGGCAGGTGAATATCCTGCAGTTCTAGAATGAGAATTAAAAAAGAAACTCAGAGAGTGCAAATTCCACCCCTCCCCCGCTTTTCTTTTCTCCAGTCTCTCAAGTTCCAACCCACTGGTCTTCCAGTTGTCATGGAAACAGGGGCTCACATAACAACAGAAGTAAGAAAGTCAACAGCACACACTCACCACTTGGAGAAGTTTGTAGGTCCATCAGAGTGGGGCAACCTTCCATGAGTTTCATTGCTTTATTTATTTATTTATTTATTTATTTATTTATTTATTTATTTATATTTTTTTTAATTTATTGGACAGTGAACCCAGGATGGCAATGTGCCATTTTAAAACATACATTCTATTTTGGGACTATATTTACAGTCTCTTCACTGAATTTTATTTTTTGTTTGCTTTGGTTAACCACCCTAGACATAACCAGCATGACGATAGAGAAATGCAAAGTAAAAAGGAAACAAAATATTGGGAATTTATTGAAAAAAAATGGAGCTTTGAAAGGAAACAGAGTAACAACTGTTTATAAGCCCAAATGTTCCACTCCTCTTTTAAAGGGTCATCTTGCTAATTAGCAAACAAAATACTGGGTTGGGTGAAGGCCAGAGAATAATCAATACAGATTTCATTGGTTATCATACTTTATGTACATAATCTATTAGGCTGTGCCTTTGTAGCATGAAGCTACCTATATTAAATACATGAATGTGTGACTATATACATTAAAATTTATTAAGAAATGAAAGTAATCATAAGATGGGCAGGACTTGTCCCATTGGCCATTAAAAAACAAAAATAATAGTTGTGATATTGCTCATCCCAGTAGGAGGAGGAGGGCTTCTGCAGGCAAGGGAGTGCTTTTCTGTGTGCATCATAACACAGACTTGTGATTTTAATTTGTAAATATATTTTACACTTTTCCACAAAAAAGAAAGAGTTAAACTAACAGAACATACTGAAAATATATTTTATATTTCAGAACAACCCATGATACAAATAACTCCTATGTACCTGCTGATAGAATTATATAATGCTGTATTAGAAACTTAACCACATAGGCAACAGCTTTTTTAAGCAAAATTTATTTTCTTGAGCCTACTTCTCTCCTAAGATCCACGCAATAAATTGTTCTTTCTAAGATTCACTCTCTCTGTTCCATGATGTCCATTTTTCCATTTCTCAAGACAAGCATACAAAAGCGTCTAGATGATTCTTCCTGTTTGGACACCACTGAGTCTCTGGGATCCTGACCTCTCAAGCAAAACACAACAGAGCTGAGAAAGACTCCTTACTCTCAAAGACATCCCAATATTTCCATATAAATACTGCACACTCATACCCTACACACATACCTTTAAAGACAATAACCAAAGTTATGCAAAAGTATCTCTTTTAAAAAAATATTTCATATTATTTTGATTTTATGAGTAATAGTGTACTGCCTGCATTTATGTAAGTGCACCCGTGTTGTGCAATGCCCAAGGAGGTCAGAAGAGGGTATTGGATTCCCTGGAACTGGAGTTGCAGATGGTTGTTAGCTGCCATGTGGGTGTTGGGATTTGAACCCGGGTCCTATACAAGAGCAGCCAGTGCTTTTAACTGCTAAGCTGTCTCTCCAGGAATTGTCTTTAGGAAATGGAAGAAGGAATAATTTTTTACTTTATTAAATAAGTCAAGATTATATAAATTCATTGGCCATAGTAAGTCCTACATAAATATTCGTGAGTAAAATAAACATAATATCTAGCACTGTAAATAAGATAGCTCATCAAGTCAGGCATGGGTGACTAGATTTGTAAGCTCAGTGCTCAGGAGCTGGAGGCAGGAATGTCAACTGTGAATTCAGGGGAGCCTGTGTATACAATGAGACTTGATCCTGTTTCAGAAAAAATTCTTCTGTATAGTCCTTTAAACTGAAGTTCTCAGAAAAAAAGTCACATCCTTGAAAGGAATTCTCCAAAGCAGATTTATTGTGAATGAGTGGAATGTTGCAAATATAGAGCCCATTTGTCCTTAGAGCCATCCATTGCCCATCTCTGCTACTGTGCTAACATCTTTATGGCTGTCATAAACAACCATATGAACCTAGTCCCTGCCCACTTGTAAGTTACTATGTGGACTAGACTGGCCTTCAAATATCACAGAGATCTGCTTGCTTCTGCCTTCTAAGGTGTACATTCTGAGATTAAAGGTGTACTGCTATGCCTGGTGGCAGTTTGCCTATTTACAAAACCCTTTCAGGGCTGGAGCTATAGCTCAGTGGTTAACAGCACTAGCTGCTCTTACAGAGGGCCCAAGTTTGATTTCCAGTAGCCACATGGCAGCTAGCAACCATGCATAACTGCAGTTCCAGAGGTTTTGACATCCTATTCTGACCTCCATAGTATTGCATGGCATGGTTGAACTACATATATGTAGCCAATACATAAAGATAAAAAAAAACCTTACAGGATATAAAGAAAGAGTACAGGTTGTATCTACAGTTTACATCTGCGCTACAGATTGCTTCATGGGGGTTAAAATACTTGTAAACCATGCAAAGTATCAGATAGTGAAGAGGGAGAGTTTAGGGTAGAAATGATAAAAGAGACTGCTGAGCTTCAACTCTTCATATAGAGGAAGGGGAAAACTATGATTCCGTATGCAGACAGAGGCCTTAAAAATACCAACATAGAACCATTCCTCACACTTGCTTAAATCTGGGAAGACATTTAAACAAGGAAAGTAAGAGTTCTTCAAAGCCTGGATCATGGTTCTGTCCCTGATGCAGGTGTATAGGGTCAGATGAGTGCTGTGAAAATGGGGAAATTGAGGAATACACCTTCCCAGCTTGTGGCAATACGGGAAAAATAAGTCCCTGATAGACTGGTTTACAGGAGCCATTAGGGACACTATAATGCTGCTCCATCAGGGTCCCATGTGTATCACATGGAGCACAGCAGGGGAAGGACAGGAATTACTGAGGTAATGATCATATAGGAGGTATCAGATATCTGTGTGAATACCAGGGACTAGAAGGCAATGGAGGAAGGACAAGCATTATTGAGGAAACTGGGGATACATGAGATGGTGCCTGATGCCCAGTTCACTGGATCAGATAGGAAAATACTCACAGGAGAGTTAAGAAGGTGATTATTCATCAAGGATCTCAGGGTTAGTATGTAGGTTTTTTGTCTTTGCTGAGCTCCCTGGTGAGATGTGTCCCTTACTATATAGAAGAGGCTTGGGTATATGTAAATGTTTTATAGTTACTTGTAAATGAGATTCATAAAGTGTTAAAGTGAACAAGAAATACTGGAGAATAGCCAAGCCAAAATAGGATCTATATCCCATTATTGAAACATAATCATGGCAAGATTAGTACTGAGTAGTGAATTCCTTGGGAAAATATTCACAGAACTGCTAATGCTGTGCTAGTCAGCTTCTGCTAGATTGTAAAGCCTGAGAAGCAGCTTCATAAGACATGGGTAACCAAACAATGAAGATTAAAAGGAGAAGATTTAGCCTGGGCCTGTTGGCACATGTCAATAATCCAGCTCTAGGGAGGCAGAGGCAGGTGGATCTCTGTGAGTGCAAGTCCAGTCTGGTATTCAGAGTGAATTCCAGACC